GTCGAGAAGAGCAGAGCAGAGCGGAAGACAGAGAAGGGAGGGAGAAGGAGAGAGGAGGGGCTCGTGGGTTTGAGAGCTTGTTGTTGTAGGCGATGGCGTCAGAGCGACCGGTGGAGGATGCGACAGGTAAACGTGCCGGGCAAGGTGAAGAAGCTGAATGAGAGCAGGAGGAGAGGAAGAGAGCGTGGAAATCTCGTTGAGAAACTCATGTCTCAGATCCGGGTGAGGAGAGGAGAGGGGACGGCGAGGACGAAGACGAGGACATTGAGGGAGGGAGAGAGGAGGACGAGAAGGAGGGAGAGGAGGAGGAGGAGGAGGAGGAGGAGGAGGAGGAGGAGGAGGAGGAGGAGGAGGAGGAGGAGTTCTTACAGGTCCTTGCAGGACAAGGAAAGGGTGCTTCGAATCCTCTTTGCTAAGATCAATCAAAGTCAGATGCCCTCCAACTCCCACAACCAACCCGATCACCCCCGTCAGGTAAGACTCCTGCCAGCTTCCTCTCCCGCTCCATACCTCCTCTCCCTCCTCCTCATCCTCCTCCTCCTCTCCCCACGCTGGACCACCACCACCACCACCACCTCCTCCTCCTCCTCCTCCTCCCCTGCCGTCTCGTTCCACCACCTTCCCCTTTCCTCCTCCGCCGCCGCTGCCTCTCTCCTCCCTCCCTGCTGGGCGCTGACCAGCATCGCAGGAGCAGGATCTGGACTTGCTGGACGGGAGGCTCAGGGAGGAGTTGGAGGAGGAGACGCGCGTGTCGAGCTCAGCGTCGTCGGATGTTCCTAGGAGGATGAGCATGCGGGGGACAGCAAGTCTGCGGCAGCCTGACTTTGCATGATCGTCTAATCCTTCCACTCCGTCCCCTCCTCTACTTACCCTCCTCCTCCTCCTCCTCCTCGTCATCGTCCTCGTCCTCCTCCCCTCCCTCTTTCTCCATCTCTGTAACCCTCCCCCCTCCCTCTCCCTTTATGTTTCATCGTCTCTTTCCTCTCTGTCTTCCTTGCTCCTTCCCCATGTGTAGAGTCGCTTCGCTTTCTTCGCACTCTCGTCTATTCTTTACGTCGTAGAGGAGGAAAAATCTTGAATTTCGCGTCCTCCTCCGCGTCCTCCTCCTCTCCCCGAACCTCCTCCACCTTCTCTCCCCACTCCTCCTCTCCCAGCTCCTCCTCAGCCTTGCTCCTGTCCTTCCCCTCATCCCTCCCATCCTCTTCTCTCTTCGTCGACTAACACGCTTTCCTCCCTTCACTTTCATCTCCGCATCAGGCTGAACAGTCCCCGCAGCCTGTCTTCGCTCCCTCCCCCCCCCGCCAGCATCATCCTCATCATCTCCATACTTGTCCCCTCCTCGGGGAACAACGAAAGCCCCATCGACGTCAAGCAGCTCACGCGCGCGTTCCCTTCCTCCTCTACCATGGCAGTGACTCCATGGAGCTGCCGCTCCTCCTCTAGGGAGGGAAAGAGCGGTTTGCTCTTGTGGCGAAGGAGGTGCTGGAGGAGGAGGAGAGCGTTCCTGAGGTCCTGGCTAGAGGAAGCGTGCTCGGGCCGTTGAAGGGCTCGGACCTGAGAAGACATGAATGTGAGAGGGAGGGAGGGAGGGAGGGAGGGAGGGAGGGAGAGGGCGGGGGGGGAGGGGGGGGGGGGTTGGAGGAGCAGGAGCAGGAGCAGGAGCAGGAGCAGGAGCAGGAGCAGGAGCAGGAGCCTTGTAAAGAGGCAGAGGATCTCACAGCATCGAGGTTGAGAGCTTCGCTGACGTTGGGAGCAAGGGGAGGGAGGAGGGAGGAGAGGACACGGAGGATTAGCTTCGAAGAATTTTCCTTCTGCTGCTGCGAGCTCTGGGTGGAGACATTCCTGGACAAGTGACAATGAGCAGGAGAGAAGCGGAGAGGAGTAGAAGACAAGGAGTAGAAGAAGACAAGAAGGAGAAGAAGACAAGAAGGAGAAGAAGACAAGAAGGAGAAGAAGACAAGAAGGAGAAGAAGACAAGAAGGAGGAGAAGACAAGAAGGAGGAGAAGACAAGAAGGAGGAGAAGACAAGAAGGAGAAGAAGACAAGGAGTAGAAGAAGACAAGGAGGAGGAGAAGACAAGGAGGAGGAGAAGACAAGGAGGAAAGCGAGGATGTTCACCTGGGGTGTTTCCTCAACAAGAGAAGTTCGTCACCGAGGTTGCAGAGTTGATAAGGTGGTGAAGATGAAGACGAGGGAGATGCACAAGAAAGGGCAGAAGAAGAAGATGACAATGATGTTGATGTTGATGTTGATGTTGATGTTGATGTTGATGTTGATGTTGATGTTGATGTTGATGTTGATGACGATGATGTTGGTGGTGTTGATGATGACGATGATGACGGAAATGTAGAAGCAGCAGGCAACAGCCCCGACATCCTCAACCACAGCTCATAGTCCTCGACGTGCTTGCAGCCTGACGACGTCGAGTATCCTCCATGTCTCTTCAGCGCCTCTCGCCGCATCATCACTGTTGGGTGCGCGATGCAGCAGTAGAAGGTCATGCTCCACCGCACCAGCGCGAACTCCGAAGGGTGAGTGATCACCTTCTCCTTCTCCTCATCCACCCTCAAGTTCTCCTCCTCCTCCTCCTCCTCCTCCTCCTCCTCCTCCTGTCCGTGCCCCTCCTGCTGCAGTCCCTTCTGCTGCTGCTGCTGCTGCTGCTGCTGCTGCTGTTGCTGCTGCTGCTGTTGCTGCTGCTGTTTCCCTTCCCTCATCTCCACTTGCTTGTCGCGCTCTTGCGGGGCGGTGAATCGGACTGCTGGCTATCATTCCGTGCGCAACGACACCACAGCGAAACACGGGAGATGGCCAAACATGCGAAACTACGCGCCATCCTCCGTGTCGAACAGTGCTCCTGCTCTCGTACTAGCTCG